GTATCTTCAAGATCTAGATCAGTGTTTTAGTATCTTTAATATACAGCACATGCCTGTGCGCTCTGTTACACAACATTCATAACCCCCTTGTAAAAGTTCAGATTCCTTTTTTGTACAAACTGAAAATGCCTGTCATTGCCTGTTTCAAAACAGTTGTGTAACTTTCTTTGATTTCTTGTGTCCAGTGCCTTTCACCCTGAACACTCCCAGCCGCAAAGACAAGATTACCGAAGACAACATTCCACCTTGGGTGAAGGCTGCTAGCAAACTGCTGAATTCTGGATGTGAGGGGGCTGATTGGCTTGCGCTGGCTACTAAACTAGGTTGGTACATCACTGGCTAGCCCACACAGCATAAACGTTGCCATGGTGATATGGAGATCCTTTTGGCTTGGAGAAGAAATGGAATGGAGTCTGATGAGAACCTTTTTCAGGTTCTTTGCATCATGTGCCTTTTTGTCTCAAATAACATCTATTTCAATTCCAAACTGCATAACTTTGAGATTGTCATTTTTTTCCAAAATTTTGTTTTGGTAAAGATGAGAAAGGATTTCGAACATAAATGATTTATTTCCATAATGATCATTAATGATCATTTCCAAATTTCATTCTGTTTTTTCCCAATTTGATGCAAACTTGTGCCTTAAGAGAGACCCGAGAAATTGCAAGATGCCAGTTGAGTAAGCCAGTTTCGTTGTCTGTTTCCTAGGTTACAAGAAAGCCAAGATTCAGAAGTTTCAAGATGAGCTCAATCCAGCCCTGATCCTTATACTGGATTGGATCCAGAACAGTGGTAACACAGCACTGTCCTTGGAGATGATGATCTCCTACCTAGAACAGATGCAACGAGAGGATGTCATTGATGTCATTCAGAAGGGTCAAGGTCAGTGCTAGTCCCACCCATCCCTTCCTAGATATTAAACACAAATTGTGTTAATACTTGGAATACCTCGTAATTTATTTTTGCTTCATACTTTGTAAACAATATTTAAAAAGAGTTGTGTTCTTCGGAACATTCCACTTAAAACATGAACTAGTTCCAGCCTGTTCTCAGCTGGCTGTTGTTGATTTATCCTGCGAATGTGTAGGCAAATGTTTTGCGTTTCTATTCTTTCCAGGCTGAGATTACTGTTTCTAATGGCAAAACTATAAATAGGACATTCCAAGAATTCTGTATCTTGATGCTTTCTGTTAGAAAACTGTTGCAGTACAACTTTTTTTTAATGAGATGTAATAATGTATTATACATGGCTGTATATGGCTGTCCACTGCTTTAATTTACAAATACAACATGCCTTGAAGGGAAGTAGTACGAAATTACTGGTCCAAAGGTGTTAGTTGATTTTGACAGGAGAATGGTGTGGTACACCATTCACTGGCTGGCTGGGAGATAGTGTACATATGTCCCTCATCACTTGCTTATTATACTACCATAAATGCTGACAGGATTAACCAATGAAAGATTTGCAGTTGGCTCATAAATATGCATGAGGTATAATAGTAGTTGTTACCAGTAAACAGTGCGTCTCAATGAGAGTGCTCAGTTTCAGTGCCAATTCTGACTCTTGACAGTAATTCTTTCCTCCTCATTTGTAGAGTCCAGTGCCCCATCCCCAGTGGTTTTCATTAGCTACAACTGGGGCATTCAGGAGGAGGTGTGTCTAATGCGAGACCACCTGGAGAGGGCAGGCTTTCCTTGCTGGATGGACATCGGTCAGATGGGTGGAGGGGATGCCCTGTACGCCAAGATCTATGAGGGCATCCGCAATGCAAAGGTAGGTTGGATGTGGCTTCAAGGATGTTTTGGTGTCTCTTCTCATCCTCACACAGTGGTAATCCTGGTATGGTAGAATGACTTCCAGGTTTCTTCTCTTGTATTATGTTGAGATGCTGAGATTGTTGCATTCTGCCTAATGACTTGTCTTGGGTCAAGCGAAATAGTTGGGGGAGGAAATGATCTGTTCATTCCTATCCTCATATGGCACCGGGCTTTTTCTTTGCACTGAGTGGTTTTTTTTTTGGGGGGGGAGGTTTCCAAGACTTCATCTCTCTCTGAAGCTTTGTCTCTGATTTCAAAATGCTTGAAGGCCCTTATGGTCAAGTTAGATGAAAATATTCAGTCTTTGGGTTAATTATATGCTGTTTAATGTTCCATTAGTAAAATATGAATTATTATTGAGCTAATAACTTTAAACATTGGGGTTATAAATCAGGTGAGATGAAGACAAAACGTATTGGAAAGCGACCATACAGGGATGTCTTGCACTTTGTCAAATTTTGAAGCAGTGCTCTTCAAAGGGCTTAAGAGCTGTCTTGGAGAAGATGCCACTGGATGTTTGTGACCCAGACCTCCCGTCCACAGAAGGAAAGAATCAAGCAGTGTGAGATTTTAAAAAGCCTCTTTCTGGTCCTGTCTATGCTGTAGGCTGTCATCGTATGTGTCACCCCTCAGTATGTGCTGTCAGAGAGCTGTAACCGTGAGGTGTACTTAGCTGACCTCTTGAAGAAACCCATCATCCCAGTCATGTTTGGCAAGGTTCCATGGCCGCCCCCTGGTGGGTTGGCACTCATATTCTCACGGCTGATCTATGTTGACATCCATGGTAGGTCACTCAGTCATCCGTGCAACTCAAATAAATGACCGTTTCATGGACATTGACAATACATTCTCTCTGATTAAGTACTGATGTAAAAACAGTGATTGCTAGCTTGTTTAAAAATACTGATTGCGTCAGCACAACTAATGCGTCATATTCCCCTTTGACAAAGGACAAATTCAATTAACGGCAAATTGTCAACCAGTGGTCAATTTTGACTGGTAACCTATGCATTAAATATATACCATGTGTAACAGATTGCTGGTGAACTTACGAAGCACCCAAAATCGTCAAGGACTGACATTACCATAGAAACACTGAAAGTTCCATGTTCACAGTGTGACCTTCAAGTACCTGTACGTGACAGTTAATCTGGAACGAATCAAATCACAAGGAATTCTACAAAACTAACTGCTACACGTAATGAACACACACAAATAGTAAACTTACACATTTGTACATGATTATCAAAATTGTTAACTAATAATACCATGGACCTATTAGACAAATCATCTGCATGATATGAAAACCCAAAACAAGTAATACACAAATTGGTGCATGTGTTTGTAGACAAATTAATCAAATTTACAACTTTCTTGAGCTTAGGTGCTCCAAACAGCAAAACGTTGATGAATGTTTATAAATGTATGATGTGGACGCATCAAACAACTGCACTGCATTGAGGTGGCTTAACCCTCAGACAAGCATTTTACTTCTACAAAACATTAAACTTCAGAAAGCTAGGTCAAGCCAGCCTGCCTCAATTACAAGAAGGAAATGTATGGCTGGTTAGTTAGAAATCAGACAACTTAAAGGGCAGTTAAAGTACAAGTGTACTAACAAAGAGAATCTGTGCGAGCCTGTGTTACATCGGGCACCAAGCCAAATCGACCAGTGATTAGCAAATTGTTGCTGATTGAATTTGCCCCAATATGCTAACTTGACCTACCAATTTATGCACACATCTCAAGTTAAAGAGGATACGTGATGGTGTAATATCACCACAAAGTGGCATTTCTCCATATTGGTGGAGAAGTTTAACTCTAATCATATGGCACAGTGGGTCGTACCTTGGCTTCACCATTTGTGACCCTGGTTCGAATCCTGCTGAGGTTGTTAGTCCTTATACATACTGTCAGCAAGGTATATTTCAAGACTAGAACTTGATTGAAACCATTGATGTTGTAAACTTACTACTAACATATTGCTTTGATAACAGCTAAGGCAGTTGAAGTAATCCTTCCTCAGAAATGCTAACCTTTGACTTTGATTCCTGTCAGCCAATTAAATTTGGTATGGATTCCATTGACTTCTTGTCTAGGCGTTGGAGGTCATGGAGGGTCTGGACGCAAAGCGGACATTGAGACAAAGTACAGCGACATCGTCAATCAGATCCGGCCGCATGTCAGCCCCATCAAGCCTAAGCCTATTTTGCAGGTTGAGCGGGCAGGGTCCGGCCAGCGCACAGTGGAGACGGGCTCCCCCAATGGTTCCCAGACGTCCCAGCCATCGGCGCCTTTGTCACGTTCACAGCAACAGCAGCAGCAGCAGCAGCAACAGCAGGGGCAGGACTCGGAGTCTGCGGAGGGAGAGCTACGGCAGGCACCACGTGCTGCTGTCACCAAGTGCGCTGTGTGCGTGATGCTTTGAACTCAACGGTTTTTCTATGCAGCTTGCAGCCTCTTTGATGGATTGCTGTTGGCTATGGATAGCTCCAGTAGCTCCAACCAGCAGCTTACACAAGTGGCTTAAAAAAGCAGTTTACTCAGCGGCTTACTACTGTAAGTAGCTAGTGCAAGCGGCTGACACCACTTGTTTCATCAGACTACTCACCGAAGGTATTCATTATGCAGTAATCACAGTGAATGACTTTGGAAGAATTCTTGCTTTCATTTGGACCAGACTCCATAACCAAAGAGTACCAGGGTCAGTTCGATCAGAAGTCCAAGCAGATATTCTGCTCAGCAATTTTTTTGATCACTGCCAAATAATCAGGTATCACACATCATCAGTGAACCTGGTCAGGCTGTATTGAGCAATGTGTGTGCTGCTAAAACTCAGTCCTAGATATCAGGACTGCTGGTCAGTTTCATGGATTGTGTTTTGTTTTATTCAGTTTTAGTTTCCAAGTGCAATAGATGAACTCCCCAAAGGTCATTTAAGGAAACCTTGTGAAATTTGACCTCAGTGTTGACTGGCAACGTGGGTTGAGCCCATGGGGGTGTGTTTGGTTTTAGTTTGTAAATAGAGGCTCTAGTTTGTTTGTATTCAATGGAATCAGCATTTGCAGTACCGTAGACTGCTTGGAATAGTTCACAATTGAGCCAGAAGAATGCAGTTATCTTTTTATCCCGTTCTGGCTCACTAAAGTGATGACTTGGCCATAAAGCTAGCACTGTCCTTCCTAGTCTCATGGCAAGCCTAGCTGTATCTTTTTGGCAAGTCATTAACATAGAGTCTTTGGTGTGGGAAACCACATTGTATTCAAATCGGTGATCTGCTCACTGGACATGGAAGTAAATTACGGTACATGTATAACCGTGTTCCACGTTGAACTTAACGTTACTCTGATTGCGCAAAAAAGGTTTTTCATTTGTTCATTTAATCCAAAAAACAAATTGATCGAAATTTCAAAGGAGTATTTCAAATCAGTATAATAAGTCTTTATTGTACAACTTGGTTTTCAACTTCCCATGATTGCTGTCATAGCTTTCCTATTTGAAAGGAAGTAAAAGTTGTTTATTTTTGAAGCATCAATTTGGCAGTTATGTTAGTGACTTCTGTCAAAGACACAAAACTCCACTGCCTGACAGGTTATCTTTGTCCAACACAAATTGCACTGGGTTGAATAGCTAGACTTTCTAAATATTGCTGGGATCATGCATGGCGCCAGCTGAAATTGTCAGTGGATCTCTATATTTTTCTAAGAAAATAGTAGAAGATTAATCAGTGTTTGTTCCCAATCGTATTTTGGCTGCTATTGCCTTTTTCTCAAAGAATGCACATAACTCAAAACTTGGCACCTAAAACTAATCATTCCAATTTTGAATATTAAAAAGGTTTTGTAAAAAATATAGCAAAGAGCGAGACAGTGACCAATGACATCGTACTTCAGATGTGCCTTTTTTGTTGTACATATCTGTATAAATCACATATATTTCTTTAGTGCAATTGATGTTATGTGAACTGGTTGTATAGCTTGTAGAGTGCAAGATGCCTGTTGTGTGCTTTGGTATGGTGCTGTGTACACAAGAAACATGAGTTATATGGCTTTCTGTGCGAAAGGTTACAATTGAGTTTTAGATTTTATAATTCCATTAACCTAGGTTTTGGTTGTGTATTGTTTAAAAGATTTTGTGCGACAAATCAATAGATATTTTTTTTAGCGGAATGGATGAGAGCCTGTGACTCGTACACTCTAGCATAAGTTTATTATTGATTGAAGCTCTTAGCTTGCTATCTTGTCAGGAGTGCATTGATGGAAGGGTATCAGGGCACCTTTTTTTAAATTCTGTGGTTTTCGTATCTGGCCGATCCTATTGTTGTCTCCCAACCATAGAAAAGGAAACTTTTCACGCCTCCAACCCTGTCTGTGACATGGCTATGAAAACAATCCAAAAAATCTGTCCAATTTTGTGGTCAGTTTTTGTGGGTTACTAATTCAAACCTCCTTAACAAAGAGTTAATTCAGAGCAAGACAGTCTTACACTGAACACTTTGCATCATTTTTTTAAGCCTTACATCCATACATTCATCGTGTAATTTTTTTGGTACATTATTTCTTAAAGTTCCGACTGACCAACCCTCCCGCTGAAGCCAAAACAACAGGAGAATTATAGAATTAAAAAAGGACGGCCTGACTAGTGTTAGTAAAGCGATACATCAGTATAGTGATTTTGGTAAGTGTGGGGAAGCATTTGCTCCTGGAAGGAAATGTACCAAGGCCAGTAAATGGGATGACAGACATGTAAGCATAGGTGCATGCATCAAAGTATTGCTCCCACAGACTTGACCTTGCATGCATATGGCCTTGAGATGCATAATCAAGCCATACGTTTAGCTTGACCTGCAGTGGTTTGCTCCTAATATTGATATGCTGTAACTGCTTAAAAAACATCTGTTCTTACTCATGAGTAGTGTCTGTACTTCTGAAGTGATTATTGTCACTTAGATTTTTCTTGAAATAATTATTTGCTGCAAAAGCAGATTCAAGCACTTCGATTCAGATTCCTTTTGTAATACAGCAAGTGCCTTTGACGGTGCTTGGATGTTTTAATTTTCTGCGCACTGCTCATTTGACTGCTTGGTTGAATGCTATTTTCTTTTCTTTCCATGTGATACGCCTGAAGTTTTTTAAAAGTAACTTGAATAGTACATGTAGATCAGTTTGGAGCTGAGGTAAAATGTCATGTACATGTGCCAGGGTGTAGACAGCTATATGACCGTTAATTGATTGGATTCAGACAAGCTGTAAGTTTGATCCCCTCCAAATGGTGGTGATAATAATGTATACATTATGCTACATCATTACATGGACATGTATCACGCTACAAGATGATACATTTCTTGTTACACCTGCCTACTTGGCCTATCTGCCCCGAGCTGAAGTGCACCCCCAATCGGCAAAAAGAATGACAGGTGGTTACAAGCGGGTTCTTGCACGCATTCTGCGTGTATGCAAAGACTGTAAATGCCGGAGTAAATTAGTTACGCGTACCCAGCGTGCTCTGCATCAAACGCACATATACTTGCACCACCTATGGTGTGCCTATGTGGTGAGTGCCAAACAAAAAAAAGCATGCCCGCTTTTGTTCCGCTCGGAGCAGATACACATTCCCAAGACCATTTCAAGGAAGTACATGTACATTTATATCCACCTGGAGTTGAAGTACACCCTCACCAGTAACGAAGAGACAGGCTGGGGGAAATGTGGCCTCCAGGCTTGTGCACACGCATGGCGCAGGCACATGCTGAGACCAAACATTTAACTAGAAATTGGCCAAACATGCCAAAACTTGAGCGCACAGACAGAATCTTCCCACCAAAGGACCATCCTTGCTGTGTGCTGTCCTTTCAGTGCAGACAGCTACATCAAATCAAATGATACAGCAGTTGTGACATGAAGCCATTTAACTTGTGGACAGAGAGGCAATTTGTGACTAAGTGTACTTTAAAGGCCAAGGAGGTTTGACTCTAACTGCCAATGTTTGCAGAATTTTAATAGATATTGAGATAATGCTTCAGACCACAGGGCTCTAGCTGCCCAGTGCATTTCTATCAAAAGCAGCAATATAAATCTGGCATTGATGCCTGATAATGTTCCAAGCAGTGTCCTGCTCTGGTCAGCCATAATAATCGGCATAACAGTACATGCAAGTACATGTACAGTACACCCATGTTTGAGCCATGCTGGTAAAAAGGGAGCAATTGTGTCTGACCATGACAATTTTTGTGTGTTTAAAAAAAGGGTTTCCTATTAATTTTATAGGGATTTTAGCAACCCTGGAAATTGGGTTCAGAACCAGTGAAGAGGTTTAAAAATTAGGGAAGAACTTAGTGATGTTTATTGCTCTTGACAATTTTGATTGTTTGAAAGAATTCTTTCCCAAAATGCTTTTTTGGGGAAGGAATTTTCCTGAGATTGATCAGTGATGTGAAGGTTGTTTTGCAGGTATGGTGGTTTCACCTACTTTGTAGAAATAACTCTACTTGCATCTCTTTCAATGCGTAATTTCCAATTGTCAGGAGTGTTGTGTTCTTGAATTATGAAGCTCCACCAGAGATTTGTCAGATAGTTTGACATTGATGTTTTTATGCAGTCTTTCGGTACCAACTATTGTGAATCCTACTTTGTTGGAAAAGTGTTTTTCAACTCCAAGTGAGGCCATGCTGTTTCATTTCTTTCCTTCTTTTGTTTACAAGATGTCACTTTTGTGGATTTTTTTTCTCACATTGATGTCATGGAAAGGGGCTGTCTGTGTCACATTTCTTTAGAGACGACGACCATTGAGACCTGGGGTCTTTTGTTTCCCAGTTGTGAAACTATCCAAGACCAGGTATGCTTGTCAGTAGCACCTGTTAATCTATTAACCCCTTTGTATTCAGTTGGAGATATTCTGGCAGTAAGCTATTGATACACCTGAATGACTTCAGTGCTTCTGGATCATGCAGATGAGGTCTAACTGAATACTAGGTACAGGGCCAAACTGGGTCTGAATAGGGTGCCTTTAGTTCTTCAGTGTTGGTTTTTTTTTTATCTTCAGTGTTGAATTTTTGTGGTACTGGTAGTAGTGACAGGCATAAGAATATAAAAGGCGGGATTTTTAAATGTGAAAATAGTAGCTCTGCATACTGGTAGAGGTAAAATGATTGTACCAGGAGCCATGGACTTTGTTTTTACATCCCCCCTCCCAACGATGAGTGTCACTCAGACAACTTCTGTTGCAAATTACTGAGGATAAACCTACCCCACACTTCAAACATTCCAGGAAGCAGGCATGACAGTTTTAAAGTCATGGAAGCACTCGGTGAGCTTTATTATACAAAGTCAGCAAGTATCAAGCTGTAAATTGAAGTAAGGCAACAGTTCAGTGCAAAACTACAGTAGTTCTAGAATGGTAGACTCGGCTATTCTCAAAAACCCCAAACAGTGGTATTTCAGTTCACCCTCAACCTGCATGTCCAAGTTCAGAAATTGATTTCTATGCGACTGATCTATTCAATCAAAATTGGTAGTCCTCAAATCATTTGCTGCTTAAAACTAGTGTCAAGAGAGTCTATGAACATGTATTAAAACAATAAAACTGATGTTTGTTTAAAATGTGAAGCTAATCTATTAAAATTGAAATCGAAATCTATCCACCATAGGCTTAGTTCGTTGGTCCTGTTGAAGGCAGTCTGTTAAACTGCCATGCTTTTAAATGGAAGTAAATCCTACACAAAAGTTCATTTTTTCTTTATCCAGTTACTTTTTTAAGGAACATGTAACTTTAAGACGGAGTACTTTTTACTAAGGTCCCATATTCTAACTGGGCACTGAAATGCACTAATTTCCTGTGGACAAATGATGTAATTTCTTGAAGCCCTGAGTAGAGAGAACTCGTGTAGTAGAGGTCAATACATGTGTGTGCATGACACATGCTTATTGAATGTACATGCATTGATCAAGGATGATAGCAAGTCTGCCAGAATGCTTGGCAACGTCTCTACTTCACAAAATTTGGCCTAAGAGATTGGCCCATTCTAGTGTCCTATAGCCATAGGGGTGGTGGATATGAGAGAATTAATGAGCAATCAGTCTTGGTTTTCAATCATGACCAGAGTTATTCCTCCCACCCCAAGTCTGTCATGAAAAATCGCCATTTGAAAATGTCCTTTATATTTTCAGTACAAAGCTATACCTGTAACTCAAAAGTGATGATTTAAATCAAGCTGAAATTTGAAATTGTTTAGGAATGTTATTGTAGGTATCATTCAATAAATGATCATATCTTCAAACTGAGAATGATATAGTACTGTGTCTCCATTGCTTCCAGAATCTTTCAAACTGCCGACTGTAACATTAAACTGAAACCCCCATTTTCCACACCCTTTGGTAATGATTTTGACAGACTGATGCAGCAAGATATGTACACCTGACACAAAAGCATTCTATGTACATGCAGATCACGTATATTAAAAATATGTCACCACTGACCCTTTAAACTCGGGTTTGGGTCAAACTGTAGTCATAAGGCAAATGGGGCTGTACAAAATCTAGCAATTTATTTTCCAGGAAAAGGGCAATTCCTTTCGTCTTTGGGGAAGCACAAATCAGTTTCCATGGCAATTTTTACTTTGCCGCCAGACATGGTAACCACATTGACTGCTGGACCTCATCAGCCTTTGTGCTGGAAGAACACAAGTTTAGCCTCATCATGACGGAGATTCTTAATATTGTACATGTTACCTGCGGCAGACAGACAATGGAGATAATTACAGAAACGATTACAGTTGGATGCATGTACCAAACCAGTCTACTCCACACACAGCACTTATCCAATAACAGTTTGCAATGTGAACACACAGTTTCAATTCCATCTAATCTGAAAAACAGGACACATCACAGGAAATTGTATCACATGAAGAAGATTATAATATAGTTTCACTGTCTTCTTGACACTTATAAAAAAACTTGTATCGTCTGTTTGATTGCGGTTGTAAACCAAGACGCACAATCCAATAACTTACGGTTTACTGCTGGCAAAACACATAAAACAGTCACCGCATGACTACAAAAACACTCATATGGCATGTTTTAAGTGTGTGCAGTTAAATTCTATGAGTACCCATTGCAGCTACAATTGACAGTAGCATTGTTAGCTAATAACTAACCAACCCCGGGTCTATGCTAGGCCTGAGTTTAGTGAAATGGACCCTGCAAAGTTCTGTGAATTTGGTAGAGTGCCCTTACCCTGGGGTACAAAGAACATGTCTCCAGTCTGCAGGATGCTCGTTGTGTGATGTATAGTGACAGAGACTTTCCCCCGGGTTATGTAGAATACCATGGTGTCATTCCGAACAAACTGTAAACCTTTCTCTTGGAGAGGTCTGATGGTTAGGATTCCTGAAGGAAGAGAAGACACCTTGGCTGGATCAAGATATTTGTGTTCAGGAAACACACCTCATGGCTAGAATTTCTTTGGATGTATCGTACCCTTGGATTGATTTAGCCTAAGAGAGCTGTGTATTGGCATAAATCTATTTTTAGAAATCAAGGAAAGGAAGCTACCTATGTTCAGATTCTACTGAAGTAAAGTGTTCAAGTAGGTTACTTCATCTGTAGTGTGTGGCCAACAAACAATAGTACCTTGCTGCTTAAAGTTTAAAAAAAGGAAGAGTTAGCACTTTGGTCATGGAGTGCTAGCTATGAGCACATTGTAAAGTTTGAAGAGTGAACACTTTGACCAAACAGGAGCTGAAATGAAACAGTCATTGATATAAGAAAGCAATGTTGGAGAAATACCAATGAAAGTGGACCAGGAACGTGCTACATGTACCTAGTTCAAGACAATGCCAGCATACAGGCCTGTTTTGAAATTTTAAGTACGACTCAATCTTCAAACCTGGTGAAATATCTGAATCTCTTTTACATTTTATCACTTCTGTAGTTTTACTTACCCTATAAAGCAGTACTGAGGTCATGAACAGCAGCCATCTTCCCATTTTTTGTTCCATAGGGATACACAGGAGAAGACAGACCTTTTGTGCATATCCGCATAACAAAGGCACTGACCGGGAAGATGGCTACCACGCACAACCTCTATTATGTGACAAGTAAGTCACCAGTATTTGAGCACATATTGCATGGACCTAATCAAGTTACCTGAGGCGAAAGCTTTTTGTGAAATGGACTTGCACAAGGTAATTGGATCATCTGCTGTTGCTTCCTTGCCACTGGGTCCAACAAAAACATTCATCTTGGCGGTCCTTAAAGTATCTTCAATGACAAATGAAACATACAACTCAAATTACTTGCTCCCAAATTGTGACTTGTCTCATTGCACACTATTTACCATTTTACAGAACAGACAAACTCATAATGCTGAATAACAACTTCTGGCAAATCCAGAGGTGTGAAAATTCAGCTTTTTAGCTGATTCCAGTTTTTTCTATTTACATGTTGACTCTCAATCTCAGCTTTTTTAGGCACCTGCTGTGTACAAACGTATGGACACTTCGTACATGTTAGCTTTTTTCTAGCTGGATTTTAGCTTTAGTTTTAAGTGGCCACTTGCACCCCTGCAAATCTTACCCACTTCAACCTCTTGCTGTGTGTCAGGGTTCATGACAACCATTGCTGGGTGTTCTGCCACTTTGCCACCAGGGGGTGGGCTAACGTGAATAGAGAGATCAGTGGGTGTCTGTGGTAGTTTCCTCTGGCCTGAATGAAAACAGAAGGAAATGCAAGGGATTAACAAAGATAAATCGTGTCTTTCCAAAAGTGACTTCATGGTGCACTGTATTTTTTTTGGCCTCCTGGATGATGTCATCACGTGGATACACTGCTTTCAATCTCTATGTATTGATCTTAGTCACATTTTCGAGGAAATTTTCTTAGGCTCAACTCATAATTTCAAAGTTTAAGTTTCTTTTGTCTCTTAAACATCTCATCCTGTGGTATTTATTTCAAACCTGAATAAAAAACTAAAGCTTCTAAAGGGTGACCCCTACAAAAACTGAAACCCAACAGTTGCATTTATTTTCTCTCAAAAGAAGTGTCAGAAATTGTTTTGGATATCAAATTGAAGCTTTAGGATGTTACCTTTTCAAAACGTAAGACTTCATTTAAATCTGATGATGTGTTGCAGACATATTTTCAATCAGGTAACAACTCATTTATGGTTCTGTCAAATGGACGTTTATACAGTTTATCTTGCAAGTGGATGAAGTCACTAAATTTTTTGAGAAAACAGATGTAATTTTGGGTTGCATATTTTTGTAGGGGTCACCCTGAGTGAAATGAATAACTGCAGATGCCGCAAACAAACATACATTTTCAACACAATAAAATGATCGCTACCAAAAAAGGACGATGGCAAATATTTTAGGGATCAATGGTAGTCATAACTTACCCCCAGTCCTACAACAATGGCAAATATTTTAGGGATCAATAGTAGTGATAACTTACT